AATTTGAAGTTGTGGCAGAATTTGTAGAGGATCCTCAGCAGTCGACTCGATCAGTTGCTACACTGTGTGACTTATCCCATCAAACAGTTCGAAATATTTAAAGAAAAATAAATTTCACGCTTATAAATTTAAACTTGTCCATGCATTAAACGACGATGATCCAGACCGTCGACTTCAATTTTGCGAAGAAATGGAAGAACTAATCAAAGCTAATCCACATTTCGTGTATAATGTAGCTTTTTCAGACGAATGCACTTTTTTTGTTAATGGAACTGTCAATAAACATAACTGCAGATACTGGGATACTGCAAACCCCCATGTTTACCGAGAATCCTCAACGCAGTACCCAGAAAAATTAAATGTATGGGCTGGGATGTTGGGTAATCATATCCTAGGACCATTTTTCATCGATGGCAACCTCAATGGAGAACATTATTTGCAAATGCTTCAAGAGTCGGTTTTTCCAGCCATAGTGGAAGTTATTGCACAACATCCACATGAGTTTGATGAAGATATTGTTCACTTCCAGCAGGATGGCGCTCCCCCTCATTTTCATCGACAGGTCCGAGCATTTCTAAATACACAACTGAATGGTCAGTGGATTGGCAGGCGTGGCCGGATAGAATGGCCAGCACGGTCCCCCGATCTAACACCTTTGGATTTTTTTCTATGGGGGTTTATTAAATCGACAATTTATAAAACTCCCGTACAGAATATTGAAGACTTGAGACACAGGATTGTTGAAGCCTGCAGAAAAATCACTGAGGAAACATTCCATAACGTGAGGGAAGAGTTCACGTCTCGTTTATTTTACTGTCAGGAAGTAGGAGGACTTCAGTTTGAACATTTGCTGTGAATTTATTTGGTGAACACAACATCGCTACTGTTATTTCGCACTTAAGGTTAGTTTGTTTGTAAAAATCATAAAAAACCATCTAATTACCTGTTAGAAATTATTAATCCTTATCATTGGCCTGATTTTTATTTATCTTTCAAATGAGGGATCACTCAAAGGGTGTATGCAATAATTACATTTTTGAGTTTCCCAAAAATATCGTATTTTGAGCGTTTTTGGCTGTAATTCCGGTTAGAAATTAGATAGAAATTTCTAGTTTTCACCATTTACCTAGTTTTTTAATGCTCTTTCAAATGAGGTGTCACAAGCTAGGGGTTTACATTTAAAAATTTTGAGTTACCCCCCTTACCCCCCATTTAGGGGGGGAATTCAAAAATTTTAACTATGTCAAAAGAAACTTCACGTTATGTTACTATCACTCCCCAAACGATATTTCATTATTTTAAAAAATAAAAAAAATAAATAGGGGGGGGGAGACATTTTTTACACACTGTATATATTTATACTTAAAGTTATTAGCACTAACATAAGTTATAGTTAACTATAAACTATTTTGCTCAATGCATCGTCCTTTGTGCAAATTTAGTTTATATTTAAACCGTTGGTCGAATTTCAGTCGACACAAAAATGTTTTAGCGAATTTCCCATATAGGGAATAAGCTATTACCGTAGTACTCATGGTAAGACCTGGACGCGGGACCAATTTTTTTTTCGTTTTGAGGTCCCTAGAGGCCAAAAACACCATTTGTTCAAATTCATATATATATATATATATATATATACACATATATATATATATATATATATATATATATACATATATATATATATATATACATATATATACATATGTCCGTTAGCACGATAACTCGAGCAAAAATTATCCGATTTTGATGAAATTTGGTACAAACGTGTAAACCTACGTTTATTCGAACGAGTTCGCGATCCAGCATGATCGGACCATGGGAACGGTGGTTTATGGTGGGTTTTATAGGGTAAAAATAGGTTTTTCCCATTTTTGACACAAAAAACATAAAATTTTGCAATTTCTTTCTAAACCATTTTGTAGAGCTTAAAAAAAACAAATAATTTAGTATATTGAAGCGTTATTATGCGCCTAATGGTTACGGAGAAAATTTCAAAAATTTTTAAATTTAAAATTCCCATGTTATTCTTATGGAGAATAAGTAAACTGTTGTAGTTTGCTTGTTTATGAACATATTTTGATCAAATTTGAAAAATGTTTTTATTTCTTACTAACTATTAACATAAAAAAAAAAGTTTTACCTCCCTGATGCAGCAAACCTAAGTACTTGTTAAACTAATTCTATTTAAATCGGGAATAAATGTTATATTTTTAAGTAGACATTTCAGTGTAAATCAAATGGAAATTCGCTTAGTCTGCAGGTTTGCTGCGGCGGGGGTATTTCCTTTAACACATGTTGTAAACTTCGGTCCAAACTCAGCAGTAGAAATTAGGTTTACAAAAAAAAAACGTTTACAAGTTTCAGAAGAATGAACTGGTAAAAACCAACATTGCTATCTTGATCTTGAAGCTCAAAAACTAACAAGAGCGGAATCTTTCAACTGACGTCCTAAGATAAATACACCTTGTCAGCCATTAAATGAAGTCTTTACACGTAGGCTGTATATCAAGCCTCCAAGTGGGATTAAAGAGACAAATGCGCACAACTCGCACCAGCACAAATCACCACAACAATGGGATAGTGGCGTAGTTGCCGCGCTCCACGACAGATCGCACCAGTGTTGCCAACGCAGGGGAAATGTCCCTGCTGTGGGGAATGAGGGGAATTTCAGTCCATGGTTGAATAGTGTTTAGAGTTGTGATTCTTACATTTTAGTTTAGTTTTCAATGAAATTCGATAAACATTTGTTGTGATTGATTAGCAATATACTTTATTCCCATTTGGTCTGCCACTTGCTTTGAAATCAAACTTTCTGTTAATTCGTGTTATCAACAAATAAGACTTACATTATGTCAATATCAATAAATAAGACTTGTTAAATGTCATCAAATTTGATTCTCTTTTGTAAATAAAATGAAAATTTGTATTTTCACACCTAAAAAAGAAATTATTGTCTTTTACTACACTAGTAATAAATATTACAAACTTTTCAGAAACCCATAAGCCACACATCCATCAACCGTATACATCATATGAAAGTTCTTTATGTAAAACTTCGCCACAAAATATAATTTTTTCAATACACGCACCTCAAATAAAGGGCAGCATTTAATCACATTCAAAAAAATTGAAGATACATCAGCTGTTAGATTTGTTTTTATTCATAGTTTTTGTTTATTTTTCCCTGAGATATTTTTTTATTCTCATAATATAAGTTTACATTACGATAAAGTTATTAGCTTTGATTCTACCTACCTAATGCAACTACACGATAGATGGTTCACAAAAAATAAGCAGCAATTACGGTTGAGATTTGCCTGAATCATCGCATGGTAAGTGTGTTTTTATAGATTTCTTTTGTAGATTTACAGACCCACACTATTCTCCTATATCCTTGCCCCGTTGCGAAGCACGGTCAGAAAAACTAGTTTCCGACAAGGCTTTGATTAATAATGACTTATATTCAAATTAAAACCAATGAATGAACCTTATAAGCCCGTTATTATTCATAGATAGTAAGTACTACAATGAATTGGCCATGAAAACACTGAGGAATTTGAGAAACAATTGAGGGTAAAACAAAACTTCGAATGTGAGCCATTATACCTAAACATTTTTGGTCTATGATTAACCGGTTAACTTGAGAGCCGGTACCGGTAAACAAAATTAAGAAGCGCTTTTTGGATTTAATGTTTCAAAGTTCAAAGTTGCTTTAGTGGTAAGTTTCAACTGCTACAGTAGGACAAATGTGATACACCTTAAGAATACTTGTTGATCAAACACATTTAACTATTTTTCTAGGATACAATTTATACAACTGAGTACCTTTGTATAGGTTAAGTACACGTGTTGTTTATGCAGAGTAGCTCATTTTTCTTGATCATGCAAAAACATTTCAAATCTAATTATTTACCTAAATCTTAACATAAACATACTTTTGTTATTTTCACCCATTAAACTAAGTGTTCATTTAGACTTTAACCCTAACCATAACCATATAACCATAACATATAACCATCACGACACTATCTAATAATAATTTCTTACGGTATTTAAAACCCTTTCTATAAAATAGTATAGCATTTATTCGACAATGATTGTAAAATTTCCCTGGATCTGATTTAATTTCTGAGAGGAAAGCTTTTTATCATCAGATTGATTGGGTGAACCCAATGTTGTATTTCTATTTAGTCCAGCATTTTGCAAAAACTGACATACAGTAATAGTCGACTTCCTCGTCACATATGTCAAAACAATAATGCAGTATAAGGCGAGTAGACATAATATGTAATTCTAATATTTATTTTTCTTAATTTTGCTTGAAACCAAATGCTGAATCATGCTTGAACCTCCCGCACACTGGAGAAGCAAATAAACAAAACGCTTCAAGCAAATCGTTGTGCAACATTTTGCTTCAGGTGAAATGCTGGATCAGTGTGCGCCCAGCCTAAGCGCTCTCGCTCGTTTTTTTACGCTGCGCTGTGGTCTAGTGTACCCTCAAACAAAAAAGGGCATAAAAAAGGTTTTTGATATTTAACTCTTTAATTAGTCATAATATCTATATTCATTTCATTTGATTCAAAATTGCCAAAGGTTTTCACATAGCCTATATTTAACGATATAGCCAATATCCTCTACCTTTTATTTAAAGTGATTGAAATATTTTTTCTTTTACGTACCTTATATAAACCGAAATACAGTATAGATACAGTAATTACGGTATATTTTAAATCCCTATACTAACTCTGCTATTTACAAAATTCATAAAACTATCGTCACAGGAGGGCTTTTCTGAAAACACATACACAAGATTCGACAGCCAAACCAATCAACTTATGAAGGGAAATTTTTCAGTCGCGGGGAAATTTCACTTCGCGAAGGGAAATTTCCCCGATGATCCTGCCTGTCGCGCGGCCCGGCGTCCAACTCAAAACATCAACTTGACAGTTCTCCGGCGTTCGCTCTGCTCTAAACAGATCGTGCTTTGCCCTCTTCGGCCTCAGAGCACACGTGTGTCCTTAACTCCTGTTATAACCTTTGTCCTTCAACTTTCCCTGCTCCGAAGACCTTTAACCAGGTGCGACAACTGTAAAAAAATAATAGGCGAGGTTAATTGTTGCGTCGCATTGTTGTGTTTGTGTCGGTGACCCGGGTGTGTTAGTGCGAGAGATAGGTATGGTAGGCACTGAGAGTTAGTGCTAACATGGGGTTAGTGCGGGTGGTTAGTGTGTTAACCCTGGTGTTACTTGCTCAGGAGGCTTGGACCTGGGGAAAAAGAGGTAGGAAAAATATTTACAGGTATTTTAAAGAAAAGTTAATTTAATTAGGTGGTGGATTATCCTAGTTAATAAATTATTTGTATTGTCAATACCATACCTACCGTAAAAGTGTAAGACTATATATGGAAAAATATCAGTACCTATTTCAGTTTGGCCAAATTGGTATGAACTTAAGTTGATAAAGTAATAATAACCTTTTCTCAGTTGTAACTTACCAGTTTTGTATTTTTGTAAACACAATAGGCCTACACCTTCAGCAGTGTTTTGAGTCAACAAAATGTCCATAAGAATATTAGGTATGGGATAGATGAATGAAACCACCTCTTGCTAATTCAAATATAATTTTGTGGAATATATGTCACTCCTAAATGACTGCGTTTCTACTGTGAAGATTAAGATCAATGGCCAAGTTAATCTCAGTTTCAAAGGTAATTCTATCACAACTTATACGGTATTCTCCTATCATCGAAAGAGGATAAACTCGTTGTTGACATCAGTAAAATGTTTGACTTAGTCAATAGTCATACAGCAGAATGTGTCATTATCTACATAATGTAGATAAGCTACAATAATATAGATAAGCTAAAATAGGCGACAAATTTCTGTTTACAGTTGATCTAATTTCTTATGAAGCACTACAATCACTGAGAGGCCAAGCTATTATTATTTGTCGCTTTCAGAAAACGCAAAACTAAAACAAACAAATGAATAAAATATTCAATGATGAAGCCTAAAACTCTATAATTCATAAAGAAATCTCATTTTAGGCCCTATGCTCTGTGTTTTAATTAAACTAAACTTTTCCTAACCATGAAACCGGTCTAGAAATTTCCACAAGCATATTCAAATTGGTTCAAGCATAATTTCAACAAGAACATTAAAAAATCGGACTAACCTGTGGACACAGTTGCAATATTTATGATTGCTCAAACCCCTAAAAAAATATGGCTTAGATTAGCTGTCAGTGTTATAAGATAAGAGATGAACTTGGCAATTAGTCTATATTCAAGCGAGCGGAACCGTTATCTAAATAGAGACCGGGCGCCTATGATATCGTGGAGACACACTTTACTCATTTGCTTTATTATTAGAGGGAGAGTGGGAGAGTGGGTGGAAGAGCTAGTATTAAAAATGTAACGTTATTAAAATCTATGTACAGTACATCTATTTTTTTATTTTAAGAGCGAATATAGTGATTTTAAGCTTGAAATATTTCCATCCAAATACGAAGTACAACAAAACATTATTAAAGCATGAAACAACTATTTCAAACTAGTCGGTCAAGGGTAGAGATTAAACACTGAACACTTTCGGGTGCCGGTACTAGAACAGGACAAACAAATCACACAATTTTCCCTAGTACAGCCTGGGACACAAGACATTTTCAAAAAATAAAGGCTTGATAAACGTGACTAAGTTTTAAACTGTTCAATACACGAGAATTCGGGAAAATTTTATTTTATTTTTCAGGTGGGATTTATTGCCGGTAAAAGTAATACTGTATGGTAATCATAGACATTATCAGTAGTCTATTGTTTGAAGTTTCGTAGAAAAATCAAGGATGAAATGTTGGGAAAATAGGACAAACAAAACAGATCCTCTATTCTATTTTTTTCATCCGGTTCGAAGGACCAAAAAATATACTACACCAATCCACTGTAAAGGGTTTGATACTTAGGCGTAACTAAATGAAGGAATAAAGGACCTTCGAGTCTTTCGGTACTGACTCCTGGTGATTCTCTTGATGTACGACCGGAAGTAGACTCCCACCGGGTCGTACTCCGTACTCACTGGTTCACCCACGCACCCTGAGTCTGCTCTCGCGTCGAGCCTCTGGGTCGTCCATTCATACGCTACGACCAAATCCGAACTGGGGGACCTTGTGCCTGCGATATTGGCTTGTGCCGGTTGTCTTGTAGTTATTTTGGTTGGCATTATAACCTGAAGAAATGTAAGTGCGAATCTTCTTAGGGTGTTAATTATTTAATTTGTTGTATCCTTTTAAAATGAATGAATAACAAAGTCTTTAGGGGAAGGTGGTCTAACGCTGTTACATTTTGGAGATATGTCGGGATTGAACTTCTTGCACCCAAGTCCAAGGCGCTACGGTAATCATAGACCAACAACACACTTCCCATTTTCATCAATGGGTCCAAAATATAATCGGCAGACTTAGAAACGATAAGATAGTAGGCTATAACGGGAATTGCCTTAGGAAATTTTGTTCTTGCATCAAGGCACGGATCTACGGATCTTTGCTTTTGATTAGTGTTTTTTCATTACCATACTTTTTATCAACAGCCCCCAATTACCAAAGTCCAACTTTACTGGTCCAATAAAGCCCCTAATAAATACAAACAGCTGACAATCTAACAGCTGATTGCATTAAGATACTTAAGAGTTTTATCAGCTGACTCTCTGCTCTTATGACCCAATACTTCCGCTGGTGATAGCTCCTGCCTTGACTTCGCCAACCAGTCGATTACTCGGCCGGCTATAAATAGCACTGTAATAGTTTCAGGAAGAAAACTGAAAGCTATTAAAATCTTATGTGTGGTAATTTGTAACTGGGATAATAAAACCAACAGAAAATCTGGTTGAAGCTCCAGTAATTGATGAAGTTAATCAAATATCACAATCCGTGGTGTAATTTTGTCGCAGAGATTAGTCACATTGTCATAAAGGTGGACTTGAAGGGTAAAATCGATACTTTTTACATCACATTAAAGTTCGATTATTTAGATGATGTCTAGGAAAAATCCATAGATTACTTATCAAGTATCAACAGTTGATGTGCTGTAGAGAAAATATTTATGTAGATGCATCATGATAGACCCTAAACATGATTGAAAAGTTGAGCAATTACTGTACTTGAAAATAATACTGTAGTGGTAAACATCATTGGTCCTTCGGTTACATAGTTTCGTAGTATCATGTCTGTAAAGTTTAATGTTTATAAAAGAACCATTAAGGTTATTTTCACTATCCTTTTTCCCTTTGAAGACCCTTCAGCATGTCCTACAGCCTCACAACGGATTATTCAGAACTCCAGATTACAGATGGTGGCTCGCGGAACCGCCATCTTGGGTGTTTACTTCGACCGGCGCGTACACCGTTAGGCCCCGTTTATGCACCAAGTGCGGTAGCGGTAGCGACAGCGGGAGCGATTTCTAACACCATTGAGTTAAATGGGGCTGTTTATGCACCAAGAGCGATAGCGATAGCGGTTGACCTCCCGCTGCGATTTCTAATTCGCCCGCTGTGTAGTTAGGAATCGCAGCGGTTGCTTGGGCTGAAGCCAGGGTTGCCAACTTGACCCACGCGCAGGTGCACTTAGGACAAATAGTTGTGTTAATTATTTGGCAGAGTTTGAGTTGGCAAGACTGTGTCCCCCTTCCATTCTCCTTTAACCAACCGCTACCGCTATCGCTCTTCGTGCATAAACAGACTCATTTACAGCGGGAGCGGGCCCGCTATCGCACCGCTCCCGCACTTGGTGCATAAACGGGGCCTTAGTCGTAAGTTATTGTGTAGCAGAGGAGCGAAGCGAACGAGAGGGAGAGAGAGATCAGTGGTGTTGTCAGAGAAAATAGCGACACTGCAATGCTATATCTCTTCGACCTTCGCGACCCAGTCGATGACAGCAGAAGTAGCTCGTGACTTTGGGAGTGCAAGGGAAGATGAAGAGGAGAATGTGGAGCGAGAAACCTGAGAGGAAGAACAATGAAGCGGATATTTTATCCTTCGGGAAGGAAAGGGCAAAACAGTTTATGAGAAAGGGTGGTAAAATACAAAGAGAGAAGTTGGGAACGGATAGAAAACAACAACACAATTGAGAAAACAAAATGAACATACAATCAGAAAAGTATACTAAAAATGGGTATAATTGGATACAATGAAACCAAGAGAAGAGGAAGAGAATGAAAATAAGTTAACTAAACGAAAGATACGAATGGGATAGAAGAATTACGGGTTGGTAAGAACTTTGAGAATGAAGGTAATCAGCTTAAATATAAATACCAAATAATAAACAAAACCATACAAGAAGAACAGTTTCCCCAGGGATGTAATGCGAAAATGAAAATGTATTAATAACTACGTTTCTTTGACTAGATCTTTTTGTGTTTGTCCACTTGTAAGCAAAAGATATAACAATAAGAAAGATGAATGGATTATTTTGCTCGACAACAGCATTAAATGGAAATTACCAACTGAATCATCCTAGAGTTTTGTTCTACAAGTTTGCTAATAAATATAAGTTAATTACGTAAATTATAGTGAAAGACCAGTTTGAAGTTGCGATTATAAAGTTAAACCAGATAGAGATGGTAATTTGTCTCAAGGTAGAAGATTTATAGACATATCAACCTCGGTAAGAGTAGCTCAATCAAAAAACAATTAATAAAGATGTCCCAGATATTCTTGTCTCATCAATTATCGCAGACTGCTTTCACTTCCGAGTACAGCAATGGCTATGCTAAGAGTGTAGAAATACATGAGAGATACTTGCAGGCGATGTCCAGTTTGATTAGATTTGAATTATTTCGTTAAATTCTTTTTGTGATATATAATTGGAAACTAGAGGACCATATCAGCAATTGCTGCTTTTAAGTTATGTATGCAAATTGAAATGAAATACAGACTTTTTACACATTTAGTCTTTTTTACATATTATAATAAATGTAATGAAAAATCTTGTTCGTAATTCGTCCTAAAATGCTTTTTTGTGACTTAATCGAATTTCCGGACTCGGCAAAGCACAAGTTAAACACGATATCGTCCCAAAAAAGCCTAATTTAGGGACTAGTAACGACAACTACTATTTCATGTTGGCCAGTTTTAATACAAGAGAAGTCAGCTTTAAAATGACTTCGCATACTTCCCAAGATGGTTGTTTATTTAGAACCCTGACAGTGCTCCAGTAGTCTAACATCTGTTTACACTACGTAATGAAATTTCATAAAATATTAGGGAATTCGCTTAATTGCCAAGTTTAGACA